GCCATGCATGCAGGCAGAGCCCAGGCAGGCAGGTGCACTGAGCCCAGGCAGGCAGGAGCAGGCCCTGGGCAGGGGGCGGGGAGGGCAGCCTGTGTGTCTAATTCACCCCACAGTAAAGCTGATTTCTACAGAGACAGCAAAAGGGCCTGTCAGTCAAAAGCTGCTAGATGGTTTCATTGGAGATCACCAGTCGTGCTTAGCAGGGGCCCAGCCACCGCGCCTCTTGGAGAATAGAAGCACGTTGGCGCTGCCTGGGATCCAACCCGGCACAGAGAGGACTGCAGGTTCACTGCCTGTCTGGGGACGCTGTCACAAGTCGGAGTGTTCCTGGCCACCTCGCACACAGTGAGCAGCGGGTCTCATCCCTCCCCCTCCCGGGGCAGATCGTCAGCTGGAGCCAGGCCAGTCTCCACCCACTGGCCCCATCACAGCGCTGCAGACGTTTGTTCCGCTATCACGTTTCTCCTGCTCTCATCCCAAGGAGTTTCTGCGGCGGCAGGCCAAAAGGGGAATCAGATGATTCCAGTCCCCCGGTACAGGCCGCCTGCACCGTCCGGATACCCAGCGACTTGAAGCATTTCAGCTCTCAAGCGTTGAATCTGTTGCAAGCCACCCGCAGAGACCAGGAGAGACCGAGGTACCACCCAGGGAACTGAGAGGGGCCCAGCCAATCCCAGCAGGCCAGCTGCTCGCCATGCCTCAGTGACAGAAGAAACAACCCTCAAGAGCCCAGCTGATCCGACCCAAGGGGAAATTCCTTCCTAACCCCAAATCTGGGGAACAGGGGGACCCTGATCATGGGAGCAAGACCCAACAGCCAGACAGTGAGAAAGAGGAATCTCCATGTGCACTGACCGCGAGCAGAGAGCAAGTAGTCACAAAGCACCCGGCGATGGCACAGAGCGTCTCTGGGTGCCCACTCTCACAGCAGGAGGGCACAACGGTGCGCCGCATGTGTGTAGCGATACGGGTGGGGAGAGGACAGCACGAAGACACTTTCCCTA